CCCAGTAGCTTCTTGTTCCTAGTAGTGATGGCCTCCAACATACTTGCGATGGCCTCCACCCTAGTAGCTTCTTGTTCCTAGTAGCGATGGCCAACATACTGGCGATGGCCTCCACCTAATAGCGATGGCCTCCACCCTAGAAGCTTCTTGTTCCTAGTAGCGATGGCCTCCAAACTACTTGCAATGGCCTCCACCTAATAGCGATGGCCTCCACCCTAGTAGCTTCTTGATGGCCAACATACTGGCGATGGCCTCCACCTAATAGCGATGGCCTGCACCCTAGAAGCTTCTTGTTCCTAGTAGCGATGGCCTCCAAACTACTTGCGATGGCCTCCACCTAATAGCGATGGATCCACCGTAGAAGCCTCTTGTTCCTATAGACCCTAGTAGTTTCTTGTTCCTAGTAGCGATGGCCAACCTATTGGCGATGGCCTCCACCTAATATTGATTGCCTCCACCCTAGTAGCTTCTTGTGGCCTCCAAACTACTTGCGATGGCCTCCACCTAATAGCGATGGCCTCCACCTGAGTAGCTTCTTGTTTCTAGTAGCGATGGCCTCCAACCTGCTTGCGATGGCCTCCACCTAATAGCGTCCTTATAGGTGTTCATTGGGGCCCTGTGGGTGCTCAACACAGACTTTCGCAAAAAGGAATGGATTATACCGGATTGTTTGTTGCACCTGCGTCCAAGCAGACCTTTCTGCCCCCAAGCGTATGAGTCTTGGAAAGCCTCTATACTCCAAAGCATGTCAATCATCGACAGGACCATTGCCTCAGTGCCTCCTACTCGCTTGAAAGAAGCCCCCTGGTATTTTGCAGACGTCCTGGTCCCACAGGGGTTCGGCTCTGGTAGGTTTAGCAGGACTTTGTATTCTGCCGACACATGATGCTTTCTCCTCCAATCCCATACAATGAAAAGCACTCAAAGGTGGTCATTTCTCAATGAATAACAATGATGGATGTGCATGCCACGTTCACAATTACAATGATGGATGTGCATGCCACGTTCACACCTGTCATGCAGGTATTGCCTGAAGCAATCGAAATGAGCTGTAGCCGTGCTTCCAGTTCTCAATTTCGAAGAATTTTCAGCTATTTGACCTCACAGTTTCCGACAGTGTCCGATTCCGACCGTTTTGTGGACCGGAGACGGACAAGGACTTCTTCCCGCCTCGGGGGTGACCGAGAGCGCTCGGAGGAGCTGCTTTCGCCTTGGGACCCGGAGGCTCTCCGGCGGCGGAGCGAACGCGGTGCCACGCGACGCTTCGGGGGCTCAAGGAGAAGCTACGTTCGTAACAAGAAGCGAACGTAGAATCAAAAGGAACTCGACCAAGGATGCTTAAGAGTTGGAAATGGTTTCGGTTTTCGATCATATGCAACTGAGTAAGCAAGGTAAAGGATGGTTCAGGGGTGGCATGGGGTGGGCACTGCCATGCTTCAGGCGAAATGGTGAGATTGGTTGGATAATGGCATGCAACGATACTTAGTACATCTTAATACGGGTAGGGTCCATCATCATTATCATCAAAAAAAGGCCTGTTTACCACACATGACACATGATCGAAAAGGGTTTCATCAACCCTGCTAGACAAACTCACAGGCACCATGAAACACACGATCAGTCCAAAGGTGCCTCTCCATGCTTTCCAACACCAAACAAACGCCAAACCGGTGAAAACACGCTGAGGGTCGCTGAGGTAGTACTCTGCGAAATAGCTATGCCTGGCAACTATACTTCACAGTCCCCAATCCCCCCTTTCCCTCCGTTTCATCCCTCAAACCGAGCAGCCATCGGCCCTCCGCGGCTTCCGCTTCTTCTGGCGGCGCTTGAGGGTCTTCGCGCTCCGGGCGAAGAGCCGGTCGAGCTCGAAGAACGAGATGTCCGTCAGGTCGAACAACCTGGTCGCGACGCACCCGCCTCCGCGACGCGAGGACCGATGAAGCGGACCATGTGGCGGACCGGCGGTGGCGGGGGGATACAGGGGTGAGAGCCGTCCTTTTGATGTTACTTGGCATCGCGTGGCGTTTAGATGTAAGGTGTCACGTTTAACATGTTGACAAAATCATACAAAATCCAACGTAGAACCGGGATGAACTACGAGGATGTCAACAATTCACTGCTCGATCTGTTTCATGTTTGGTCGCTACAGGACCCGGATGTTGACATGAATGACTCTGGCAGGTATGAACAACATGACCCACTCGGACGACTTCGATTGGACGTTTCTTGGCATCGTCCGTGTTCAGTTTATAGAGAAAATAAGCTAGTAGCTTAATAGAATGCTCCTAGAAGTACGGCCAGGAGCCCCAGGAGCCCCTGAGAAATGGCAATGTTATGGGAATTTATGGGTTATCGTACAGGCGGAATGTTCCAACAAGAAGTCAGGAACACTTGCAGGCACCACGGTGAAGGGTTTCGACCTCCTGAAGCGACAGTGGCCGCTTCTTCGACTTCGATCGCCTTCGCCATCTGAATTCTTGGTGAACACTGGGCTCTGGGTCCATCCGGGGGGAGGTTGACCACAGAAAAAGAACATAATGGACTACCTTGTCTCACCAAGAGTGGTGGAGAGTGCTTCTCCACCTCATTCAAAGCAGGTCGGAACAAACCCCTCTTCCGTACATCACTTGATGACTTGGATCCCCAGTTCGACGTATACATCACAGATGCTGCAGTGATGCCTCAATTAGGACGAAGCAACATGATTTGTTTCTCAACAGGCGATGCTGATGCTGAAGCAACTAGCATTGCAACAGTGTGCAAGACATCCTGATGATTGTCGGGGCTTTCGAGCTGCTGTACTGAAGAGACATCTTGACATGACCAATGTGCAGATGCATTGACAAAAATACATCGGCACACTGGTCATGAGTGTTTTTCACCATACACCTTACACTGAAGTTCTTCAGGACACTGAATCGAGCGAGCATGTTGCTTTTCAACGGTGCTATCACGGGCTTAGTGGGATGCAAACAGTGTTAATAACAATTTCTCCGTTGTTGCTTACACATCTTCCCAACGTTGTCCAATCGTGTCTGAATGATGAAGATTGGAGAAGTGTTCTTTCCTTTTCAGACCCACTTTGCTGGAATAATGCAATGAAGCATGATGAAGCAGTTCAGGTTTCCTTCCCTGAGATTGCTTTCCTTTCTGTGACAAGAGGCTTCCAGTTCCGGTCACAAATTGTTCAATATTGTGACTTTGCCTTTTCTGGCAAAATCTACATCCGGAAGACAAAATGCATTGGATGTGTATTACCAGGGCTGCTTAGTTCATGCCCTTCCTCACTTCTCGAATGAGGAACTGATTGCATTCCTTTTAGCCTTCGGTCGGCCCCGCTTCTGGCCCGAGGGGGCCGTCCTTTCAGCCCCTCGGCCGTAGTGACGGAGAGCACCGCAGCGCTGAAACGGGAGAACACACTCTTGCGGACGGAGAGTTCGTCGCTTCCTACGAATATAATGGCCAGGATGGGCCTGGGACATGCTTCCAGGTTTTGACCCATAGCCACTTGAAGCGCAAGGGCAAGTGGATCCACCAAACGCTGGCTTTTCAAGGTGGCTGCCTGACTTGGGCACGATGAGACTGAATGTCCGTGAAGACTTCAAACAGTCGACGAGAGAACCACCCGAAGAACACGGAGATTCACCACCATGCGACGTTCGAACGCTGCCCCAGCAAATCGCCCAACATGGGAAACAAGTGGCAACAATCAACCAGCACTGAGTGCTGTAGCCTTCAGCCAATGCCCCCAAGCATCCCCAAGCCAAGGTTGAATATACCCCACCCCTCTTGGCCAAAGCAGCCCTCCCATCGCACTGGGCGAAGGCCGCCAAGATCACGCTTGGTGCGTCTCTTACGCCATCGCGTCTTCTGCTGAAAATGCGCGAGCCGAAAGGTTTGCGAAGACAAGGTTGGAAAATGAATTGAGGTGTTGTAGGTGTCCGGGGTGTTTCCCGCCTTCATCGGTAACTGGAGCGTTTATATCTGGGGTACTGTGAGACCAAGCATGCCGCTTGAGTTTTGGGACGCCCTGGGCCATTTGACTATACTTGGCAAGCACACAGACGCACAAAGGAGTTCTCCAGTGAGATATTGACTCCTTCGATGACACTAAGGTTGTACCCTAACAAAGACACTGTCTTGTAGCAGAACGCTTTTGAAGGATTGAAGGTGTCCGGCTCTGCGTCGTGATCAGCTGCTTTGGTGGATCCCAACCCTGTGAGTTGAATGGTATGAACGGAACATTGAGAATCCAGCTACTCCGCAAACGTCAAAAAAGCAACATGGACCTAATATTGAGGACAATTCTTGCACCTATCATCCAAAATAGTCGTCTTGTGTTGCCACTTCTGGCTCAAGCAGGTCCTATAATTACCAATCCTATATAGTTAACCACCACGAACCGTTTCAGACGTATCTCCAAGCGACGGTGACAAGCAGGTCCTGTCGACCCAGAACCGTTTCAGATCTCCGTTTCGCGCTCCACCGGACCGGTGAATCGCTCCGTCGCTCGACGGCGGTGACGACCCACTGCCTTTCTCCTCCCGGGGCGAGCCGTTCGCGTTCTCCTCGTCGCCTGGAAGAATCCACCGGGGAGTGGAGGAGTTATCCGCCAGCGCAGCATCCTCACATATCCCTTTTTGGTGTTGACCCTGGTGCCTGGTACTGGAAAGAGAATCTTAAGACAGGCTTCAAGAGCATGGCCACAAGCATCCGGAAGCCTTTTTAGTAGGAGTTAGAGTGTAGTTGAGCGCTTGGAAGTGCCCCTGGACTGTCTAGTGACTAGTGAATGCGTGCTTGTTGTCTGCAAAACCTTGAGAGACTCTTCCATGCGTTTAAGCAATATAGTATCAATTTATATCTTAGAGCTCCCCACAAAAAACGAGTCATATGAGGCTTTCTGTTGTCACAACTGCTCTGCTCCCCCTTCACTCGGTCCGTCGTTCGGTCCCAACGCCTTCGCCTATACGGTCGTTCTCGATGTGAACAAAGTCGCAGAGCCAGGAAAGGAGAAGCCTCGACGGGCCGATGTCCCGCCGGAAGGATGGGCTCCACTGAGGTAGCGGCTTATGGTGGCCCAAATGGGCCTGGCTGGGGTTTTGAAGTCCTCTGACCAGTGCTGGGGACTGTAGGAAGCGACTCTGATCCTGGTCAGAGAGGAGCGGCATGCATTGTGCTTAAACATCACATGCAGCGTGGCGCCTCCACAGTTACTTGGTGCTTTACATTAATGATCAAGAAGCATGGCCACCAATGACGTTATTGAACCCCGTTGGCCGTTGGCATGACATCCCCACGTCTCAAAGAATAGCATACAGTAGTCACTGATGACTGACGACCATCTGAAATTAAATCGAAGCTCCAAACCCCAACTTCAGGAAGCTCTCCACTGCCCTGGTAGCTGGACCAACCCAAACACAATATCTCAAGGGACATAGGGATTGCAACTCCAAAAAGCTTCCAATTGGCCCAATTTCTTGGCCTTTGGCGTTCAAAAAAAACAATTCTCCGTCAATCTGTTCCCGCGTTTTCACGCCTCTTCCGGCTAGCGGACCATGTTTTGGACGTCTCAAAGACCTCGGAGCAATTGCAGGTCGAAGGCGTTCGCCTGTGAGGGTAGTGTCGATCGCAAGATCCGGTAGTGGATGTTGGATGGGCACACCATGGCACACCAGGGCAACACGTCCAAGAACCGAAACATGACACCCATGCCAAGCGGGACAACTGGGCCGGAAATCCAATGGCCCGAAGGTTTTCCTGGGGGGTCCTTGAGTTTTGAGCTGACTGAAGGATGTGGTATGATGTGGTTCAGCATTCTGCAGTTCCAAAGAAGGCTGATAACGATACGACCCATGCTTCGTGAGCAAAACCATCGGAGGTGCGCGCTCTTGTGATCTCGGGAACAGAGTGAAACCACACGTCTGGTCCTCCTGAATCTTCGTAGCTTTGCAAACCAGTCGGGGAAGAAGTGTTCCAAAACGATGATGGTCTTGCAACAAAACCAGCGTGGGATGTGAAGCCTCAATGGCAACCAACGGCACCCCGAAATCCCTGGTCATCTGTCCAATGCCAACGTTTAGACAAAAACATCCCACAAATGAAACTGAAATTTGTTGACTAGTAGTGATCGGACAACTCCCTGCAATAGCTCCTCAAAGCTCGCATTTTGGAGGGGATATGACATGATGATCCAATTTACACATTAATGATTAGATTCTGGATCGTTTCCATAATACAATCCCCTCCCTATCCCTCCTGCTCCCCGTACCCCTTACTCGCTCGGCACAGCTGGGGCCCGTGCAGCTCGGCTGTGCTCCGCTAAGAATTGCAACACTTTAGTCGTGGCGTCCGGCGGAGGCCGCGGCAAGCACAGCCTGGCAATTCGGAGCATCCACGACAGATGGCACACGATCTGTTTGGGTACTGCCATGGACTGCCTACATTTGCGTGGCTTAAGGGGTCAATGGGGTGGCTGCTTTTGCCCACAAAGGAACCTGATCACTCATTTTGATGGTGAGGTTTTTCCTGTTCTTGATGACTTCAGAGGCCTGTGCCACTGATCCAGCCTCATCCAAAGCAGTTTCATCATCAGCAGTTCCCATCAACCATATGGCCTTGTCCAAAGCTTGATGGGTGAGTTGAACTCTTATCTGGGCCTCAAGTGGCTGACCTGCTGAATGCAAATACTTTGCATTCATCCAACTGATGAGTTTCTCAACAAAGTTGCGTCCATAACTGGTGGTTTATTCTGAAGCTTCTCCATTCTGGCCATGGCATCCTCAGTTTGCTTTCTCCATTGCTTGGCCCTGTTCATCTCAAGCGCTGATGCTCCTGGCCCTGATGCATCATCTGCTTTCCTAAGGCAGCTTTATGAATGCTCAACCAGCAAGCAGCAAAAATCATGCGTCTGTTTTCCCAAGTGCGTAGCAAAGGGTTCTCGTTTAACTCTGGGGGTCTGGGGGTGGAGTCGCGTTCGCGACTCGTTGTCGTAGGGACCGCAACCGTCCGCGGTAGGGCGCTATGGCGTTGACATTGGGCGAAGCTTTTGGACAGGGTTTTGGATGAAAGCATGACGTGTCAGATTTGTGTGAATTAGCGAGGAAACATGCGGAAACGTAAGATGTTGAAGCGTGGAGCATGATTTCACTGTGCAGGTGCATCGTTTTGTGGCGTTTGGAGGGTGGTGCTTTTGGGGTGTTGGATGTTGCTGTGACATTGTGGATTTGCGTAGGATTTTTTCTTGGCCAGTCCCAGGCCCCACAGCTAAAGTTGTGATTTTGGTGGGTTGTAGTGTGCTCAGAACGTGTCGAAATCATTCCAAACCTGTGGTGTAGTGTAAACTTTGCTGAAGGCATGAAGATATGATATTGTGACTTTTCGTGGTAGGCACAGTACTTTTGCCGGGTTTGGAGGCGTGGAAGTGCAATTTTTGTGGTAGTTGCAGGGAATCGTGAGGTTGCGAGGTGTGGTGAGGTGGAGGTCACATTTCGTGGGTCGCGCAGTACTTTGTGCTCGTTGGAGGTGTTGTTTGGAGGGGCTGGAATCGCGAAACTGCTTGGCAGGGCTGCTTGATGCGTGTGCGCTCCTATGGGGCTTCTCGCTTGACTTTTGGAGGAAGTCTCGTACACGTTTTGAAGACTTTGACATGTGACTTTTGGAGGAAGTCTCGTCCGAAACGCTCGTTATGGATAATTTTGGTGGAAATCTCGTACGAAACGCTCGTTATGGATAATTTTGGTGGAAGTCTCGTACGAAACGCTCATTTAAGCAGACTTGAAGTGCCACAATACCTATGATCCCTTCGAGAGCGTTGGCTACAGCATCAGGGATTTGGCCCACTGCGAGATGGTGCAGTTGCGAACGTTTTGCGGCAAAGAACTAAGGAGAAGGAAGGCTGCTTGTGAGGCGCAAAGCAAAAGAAGATCACAAAATAAGAACTTCCTATCCTACTACCGTGCCCAATGAATCACTCACATTGATCCACATTGAACATTGTGAACATCGTTTTGTGTTGAAGATCCCAAACATGAAGGACATTGGGCCATGATATCGGAACGCTTGGTCTAATTTGGCTGGCTTTACATGGCTTTACAATGGTACCATCACAAAGATTCCCGCAGCACCCCTGCCACATTTGGTGGGATCTCCCATGCCGAGGGGATCAGGTGGCGGCTGGGGGTTGGTCAGCGGAGACAAGGAGTCGGAGGCAAAAGCTTGTGGGGGGTGTCCGGGTATTTTGATGTTTCATTGTTGGGTGGCGGGGTGGCTGGGTGGTTGGGTAGGTTGCTGCTGCTGTAGCTGCTGGTGCTTATGCTTGTGCTTGTGCTTGTGCTTGTGCTGCTGCTGCTGCTGCTGCTGCTGTTCTTTTTGTTGTTGTTGTGGTTGGGTGACGGCGTCAGCGGTGGGGGTAACTGGGGTTGGGCTGGGATGGATGTTGATGGGCGGGCGTTGTGGGGGATGGGGAGGAGGCCAGTAGGGAAGACACCAACTACTATAAAGTCCATTTCATGACATTCAGGTGTCTCACCATGACATTCAGGTGTCCAAGGTCAGTCCTTATCCCGGGTACAAACCTTCATCACCCATCATGTTTGAAACTCTTTGCAGCTGCGGCAGCTCTTTTGTCATTGCTTTGAGTTGCAGGTGTTCCAAGGGCAAGCCCTAATCACTCAAAAAGAAGCCGCATTCAGCTTCCAGTGAATGGCCCCCTTTCAGTTTCTACTCCTCTCAAATCAATCTCATGCATTCACCCTCCACCAGCGACACGTCCTTCTTGAGATAGTAGAGAGGCTTACCTTTGCTCCCACTTCCAACATTGGAAACCAAACCCATCACAAATGCAACACATGACATTCCTCCATTGTCAAATCCATTATTCTCCAAGAATCGAGGTCGCAACTCCTGAGCTGGAGATTGGAGAACCATTGACCCTTTGTATTGAAACAAACACTGTCACATTGAATTGCCAAAACTGCATACATCAGTATTTTCTCAAGTAAGACTCACTTACATCTTTGGCAAACATCACTCGCCATGCTCGATTGAGCGCCTTGGATGCCTGGATCGCCTGGGCTGAGGAGAAGAAATGCGAGGGGGAAGCAGTTTTCGTGTTGATAGAAGGCTCACTCAATAAAACACAACTTCATAGCAAGGCGCTGGTGTCGTGAACGCAGAAGCCATCGCATTGAATTTGAGACCACTGATATTTGAGGGTGTGCTCCATGCGAAATAGTGAAGCGTTTGGGCCTTGGGTTTGATGATGTATGATGTATCACCTGAGTCTTCCGAGGAAGTCAGTGTGGTGGGTGAGGGATTGATCTATATTTTTCTCAGGTGAGGGATTGATCTCTCTAAGCTACCTACCCTCCGGGTCAGCGCTCCCTGCCGCTACAGCCGAGGGTTTCTCCATGGTGTGCCCATTCACGGTAAAGTCTGCCACTGTTTCACTCAGTTCGTCAAACAGTTCTTTGAGGCTGCATTTGTCGGAGTCTGAAGTCTTCTTAGAATCTTCTTCAGTGATCTCGAGCACGACGGGTTCCAAATCCGATGACCAGGAGCAAGCCATGATTCGATCAAGCTCACCTGTCAAGGCAGGATGGTAGGGCTTGAAGGGCAATTGCTGGACCTGGAATCACAACCAATTGCAAACCAATTGGTATTTGCCGAGATCAGAACCCATTGCAAAGCAATTGTTGAAGTCCGTTTTTCTTCAACCCCTTCATGCTGGCACTGGTTCGTCCTCTATGTCCGGCTAGGGCTCAGTGTTGCCAAAAACTCACTGGGCCAAGGGACAACCTAACATCAGTGATATAGCAGCAGCGATGGATTACTATGAAATGAACTAATTGGTGTTGAGAAACACCGCTATTGGAATTTTGTCGAGCACACACACACATCAAACCGGTGAAAGCAATAAGTACTCTAAGTTAAGTTTGAGACAAACTCCAAAACATTTGAGAACACTTGATGACTGGATGAGAACACTCAGGGTGCTCAGACTTCTTCCGAGTGTGTGGCCCTTTGGCTCCTTCCCAAAAAGATCGCCCAGGCTGCTTTCGCTGGACTGTCTCACACCCGAGGCCAGAGATGAGTACACACATATCACATATCACATAATATCAGATATCATTCAATGGTTGAAGGTGTATGTCACATATCGTAATATCACAAATCTGTGGAAGCTAGGATCCAGTCCAGACTGCAGCAATAACCTATCCTAGAGCAGAGTAGGTCCTACATTCAAGCCGGAGTGACAGGGGACTTCTCTGGCACATCTGCAGGACTTCGTTCTGGTGCTTCCTCGATGCCGTTTGCACCAGGCGCACCAGCTGGGTTAGAGGGATTTGAGACATTGACTTTCAGTCGTCTGCGAGACAATTCTGAGGCACTCATGTGCTTCATGCTGTTCACACGATCTGGATGCTCCCGCCACCTCACAGCAAATTTCACAACTTGGAGACAAGTGGTGGGGTATATTGCTGTGAGCCATGAAGTCAAGTGAAGCACGTTGAGCCAAGCCACAAAGCTCGAGCTTGTTTCAAGCACTCCTTGCCTGACCAATCCGGGTGGTCCTTCTTCAGCTGGGAGATGGTGCTCTTGAGGTGTTCTTGATAGACCAGCTGAAGACCCTGACAAATCAGTGGTTAGAAGTTGCAAGTTGTGGCTGGAAAGCTATCATATATTATACGGCTATTATATTATTGTGGAAGGTAATTGTAATGTATATTTATCATTATTATACGGCAATCAGATTATTGTGGAAGGTAATGTATATTGGCAGTAGCATTGGCAGTGTGATTTTAAGTTCTGGCATTGTCGCCCTGCCTTCGCCTTCGACTTCGATGATGTTGCAGGAGCGGCCTTTGCCTTGCTCTTCGCCTTCGCCTGCAGAGCAGTGAGCGAAGGCACACCAGTTCTTTTATGTTCTTTTCAACTGACTGGGAAGAAGACTAACTCAAGCCTTCCAGACAATTGGACCCATATGATGTAGAAGATTTGGGATTAAAGGGACAACTCAAGCTTGCTGTGTGTCCACGATAGGGTTTACCCGCAGCGCCTTCCCCCTGGTGGCTTTCTCTTCTTGCCCAAGCACCAAAGTAGATGCGTCCGAGTCCGAGGCAGCTTCTTCTTCAAAGTCAAGTTTTCTGGCAACCTTCTCATCCTCAGAGCGGTTAATCTCCTCATCAGAATCCAGTGGGTCATCTTCTGGCTTCTTTGGCTTTGCTCCAGCAGGCTTCCCACGTCCCCTGCCACGCCCCTTTCCACGCCCCTTTGTGGCTGACTGCTGGGCTGAAGCATTTTGTGTCGCTCGTTTGGCAGCCTCCTTGATAGAGAGAGACTTGTCCCGAGGCTTGGCAGGTGCAGCTTCTGATTCTGCGCCCATTGACTTCAGATGATACATGTCTGCTGCAGCACATTTTTGAGCATATTCATCCCAGACTTCTCCTGTCTTGTGACGATCCTCATTTCCATTGTCTTGTGACGCCTTTCTCTGGCGAATTGCTTGCAATTCCGCAACAAGCTGACGAGCTCTGGCTGCACGCTTCTGACGCTTCTCCTTTTCCGACTCCTTCTTCTTGCCACTCCGATCATTCTCCTTTCCTGCCCCACGTGGCTTTCTCTTTGGCTTCTCTTCCTTTGGCTTCTCTTCCTTTGGTTTCTTTTCCTTTGGCTTCTCTTCCTTTGGCTTCTCTTCCTTTGGTTTCTTTTCCTTTGGCTTCTCTTCCTTTGGCTTCTCTTCCTTTGGCTTCTCTTCCTTTGGCTTCTCTTCCTTTGGCTTCTCTTCCTTTGGCTTCGTTTCCTTTGGCACAGTTCGTTTTCTCTTTGGTTTCTCTTCCTTGGGCTTCTCTGGTTCCTCCAGTGCCACACTGCGTTTTCTCTTTAGCTTGTCCTCTTGGTCCATTGGCTTCTCTCGCTTGTCTGCTGGTTCCCCTTTTGCTCCTCTGGTTCTTTTCGGTTTCTCCTGGTCCATATCATTTCTCTTGGTTTTTGACTTCTCCTTTGGCTTGGCTGACACCTCCTCCTCCTCCTCCTTTTCATCTGACGCCTTTGGCTTCCTCTTTCGCTTGACTTCTTCTTTCAGTGTGCTTCGCTTCTTCTCATCCTCCTTTGCCTGTGCCTTCATTGCTTTTTTCTCATCTGATCTTTTCTGCTTGTCATCTTTCTTCGCACTGGCAATCTTCCCATGAAGGTCATGCAGCATCTCTGCACTTAGCGATGGGTTGTTGGTCTTCGTGTCCTGGAGCGAACTCATAGGCAGTGATGGAGCATTTGGCTTCTCCACCTGGCGCAGTGTTTGTGTGATTTCCCTGGTTTTATCCAAGTTTCAAGATGATGCAAAACATCTCTGAACTGCATTGATCGGACCTTCTCACGCGAAGATATCTCTGGAGATACCTGGGAGTGGGGGAGCAGTCCAAACTCAACTCACAGGGTGTCGGTTTATTTCCTGTCGCACCTGACCAGGTCTGGGCGATGGCGTGGTTGTATATGCCTTGTCCAGCTCTGAGATGCACTCAAAGTCCTTCACCCAAACACGCATACATGTATGTGTGTGTATGTATGTGCGCAGGTGCACAAGAAGACACACACCTAAACCCATGTCCTTCTCAAACCCATGTTGTGCGAGCAAGGCTTCCAGCGCAGTGGAACTCATAGCAGCGCTAGAATTTCGACCCAGCCCAGCTACTCTAAGTCTCTAAGTTGCTGATTGAGATTCAGGAGAGTTCAGTTGAACACAATGACTTCAAGTGATCCCAAGTTCATGAAAAAAAACACAAAATATTGTTGAACACATTCTTTGAGAGATCCCAAAAGTTCAACAGTGACTCCCCCACTGCCTTTGTTTTGCTCCCGCTGCAACTTGGCCACCTTGTCGGCTTTGACGAACTTGGAAGCTCCATGACCGAGGATGCACTCAGTGCATTCGATCTCAACATCCATGTGTGCCACCTCAGATTCATTAACTACCCCTGGGTTTCCTAGGCTGTTGAACCATTCGACTCGATCATTGGTGGGAGGATCCTCTAAAACAATAACAGAGTTTCTGAACACTCCAAGTAACGAGGAACAGTTTGTATTGCTGACCTTCCACAATCTCTCGGGTTTCTCCAGACCGTTCTTTGGCGAACACAACGTACAATGAGGTTCCTGCTGTTTTGCCAGGAACTTTGGCCTCCAAATTGTACTTCTCAGTAAGTGCGTCCAAGGTCGATGGCTCTGCCCAAGGCTCGATGGCTTCATCTTCCGGTTCTTCGTGGGGAACCACAGCCGTGGAGACAGGGGCAGTGGCCACGTTGACATCGAACCTCATGTGCAAAGAGTTTGAGGGAATCACATGCATATTGCTAAAATATTGGCAAACATAGAGGAAAGAACCTGTCACAACTTACATGTTTATAGTCAGTAGGGTAACTTTTTGTCGAACTCTGCAATAATTTCACGCCATTCTGCCCCATGAACGACGTCCGATGCATAGAGCTGTCTGATGTTTGTGGGAAGCTGGATTTTGTACCTTCCCCACCCAGATCCATTGCCAGTTTTGGACACAGAGACCATTTCGAAGCCAAAGTCATTGGGGTCCACAGTGTTGCTGAGAGGTACTGGGTCCTTTTCATACGGCCGAACATCACCCATGCAATGCTTGCCATTCTTCCAGTCCTCCAGAGGTTATCTACACACCAAAGAAAACCTCTCAAAGAAAACATCTACTAGTTTGGCATTTTCACTTAGAAGGGGTCACTAATTGATGTTCATCACCCCGAGAACGCATGTCCAAGCCCATTCCTGCAGCAACTCGAGAGCGATGATCTTCTCACAATAGCTAGTGAGCTGAGGTGTTTTCGAAACTGATAGGCTTGCCATGGAGTTTCCATCAGCAGCTGTTGTACCCCAATTCAAGCACGTCTTCTCCAGATAGCTGTCGTACGGGGTGACATTGCACACTCCCATGAGCTTGTTGGGTAGCTCGATTTTGCCAGTCAGCGCAGAAAGAATAGACTTGGAAAAAGCAGAGCCAGCTAGGAATTGGGCTGACTCCTGTACATCGCTGTAGCTCCTAGAGGGATCAGTTTTAAAACTGATGGTAGATGTTTGTCACCATTAAAACCAATTGATCCTTGTTTTGTCGAGAAAAACAATTTTTAATCAGACAAACCCTGCCTGGTCCCTTCGCTAGCATGGGGAAGCGAGTCCTTCTCCGCAACAGGTATGCAATACTGCGCTTCTGACAACCAGGGGATTTCTTCTCTGGTGGACCTGGACGCTCTTCAAGGACAGGGTGGACTGAGACAGGAACCAAAGGACTACTCACAAAACAAAAGTACAAAACGAAAGGAAGGGCAATGGTGACAAGGGACCGACCTAAGGCCAATTGGCTTTGCTGGAATAGGTTGTCAGCAAGTGTGTCTTCTTGCACCACCAGCCACGCCGGAAACTGGAGTGGGACCTTCTTCTTCAGTGGTGCTGGCGGCATTCGAATGGATATTGCCGTGGAGAAGAGGCCGCGAGCATCACACTTGTCTTCAATCCTCCTTGGAACCAAGGGTCAACCCAGCAATAGCAATAGAAAGAACTGTGAACCACGGGTCTAGGACAAACAAGTTGAAAGTAGTTCGTACAATGATACCTGTTGTGAACCAAGGCACCGAACTTCTCCACGCAGCCCATTCTTGACTTTCTCTGAAGGTAATATAGGACACACGATCAGCGCTGCCGATACCAATGGCTTCTTCGCCAAGATGCTAGCTGCAATATCGATGCACCAGTTCAAATCGCTGTGAGAAAGCCTGCCCATCTTGGAGAAATCAATCCATACCAAAAAGGCTGCTCGCTGGCTATTCATGCGGTCCACAAACTGTCAGGGAGCACAGGGTTCAAATGAGCGACATCCCGAACATCCACAAATGAGTGACAGGCTGGACAACACAACACCCTGAGACTATCAAGTGGGAGGTAAAGAGTGTGCCTTCTCCACAGCAACCTCCAGCTCGCCAAGATTTCCGCCCACAAAAGCACACTTCTCCTGCATGTAAGAATTCACAATCGCTGCCCCAATCGTGTTCTGGCTTCGTAGGTGGAGGAGTCGATTTGTTTTGATGGCCCGCTCGCTCTTCACCTCCGCATGATAGAGGCGACCCAAATTTGCTATGTCTCGGGCCAACTTCATGCTGTCTCGCTCCCATGCGGCCTGTTTGGCCGAGGCATCGAGCTTGGTCAAACGATCGTCCACCGTGTCAAATGCAGCAGACTCCTTCTTCTTTGACGGGGCATGATCTTGCCACAGCTGCAAATGCTCAACCTGCACAGCCGCGTCTTTCACCAGAATGGCCTCGTCAGCTTCATCGTTGTAGTCCCTGAGTTGGAATGTTCAGAGCCAAAAACACAAACACCAGCCCCAAACAAATTCCCAAACCAACCAATCAGTGAAACTGAACAAAAACAGCTTCAAACTAAACTGCTACCAACGGAACCCCTCGATGATGCGTTTTGTGACAGTGTCTAACAATGCTGCGTCAAACATCTTGGAACCATCTGAACAATGAGCATTCTCCATCTCTTCCCTCACGAATCCAAGGAAACAGACGCGATCACATTCCTCTGCCCATTTGTCCAGGCTGAGACGCACCATTGCAGATTTGCCAGCTCTGGCTGATGCAACACGGTGTAAGAACAGCACCCTGGACATAAACAAGAGCTGCTTAGTCGCGTTCATGGAAAGGATAGCATGCCACCGGTGATTTGGAGCGCTTGAGACACCAGCAAGCAGCCAGCGAGCATCAGCCAAGGTATCACGCGCAAAAGCTGCAGGGAGCAGTCAGGTTTTAACAAGACACTATTTAACTCATAGGAGCCCATGAGCCTTCTAATTTTCAATGGCCAGACGGAGTAAAAAAGGTTTGCCCTCCATGCCTGAGTGCTCAAATCTGAACTGGTGAAGATGGCGTTCCATCAAAGTCCACACATCAGCATGCACTCCCACCTGGGCACACCACAGCAAGCTAGTTACAGCACACAGAACCTATCATATTATTGTGAAACAAGGATCAAAAAATTGACAGATTCAATCTAGGAGCAGTGAAGCCGAAGAGAGAAAGAGCAGTTGCGTCGTCTACTTGGTACCGCTTGTTCAAACTTGCTATTCCGTACTGGTTGTATTCAGTGATGCTCTCGAGGAATGCACGTTTATATCCATCTTCGCCACTGAACAGCGCTGGGTCCTCTCAGGGATTGAGGGTCATAGGGTATCATGGGTGCTACCAGTTAGCCATTGGCTTTAAATTAGATTTTATTTTTTGATTGTTATAAATATTTTGATTGTTATAATAAGCTGACAATTAGTAATTAGTCGCTCCTCTTTCTGTTTTTCATTTGCTCGCTTGGAGAACAGCATCGCTTTCTGGATCATGGTTTTCTTGACTCGCTCAGATTGCTGTTCGTGGGATTGCAGTCTGCGCCATTCCAACTCAAAAGAGTGGCTGTATCCCTGCAGGATCGATGCTGGAATGGTCAGCACAGTCTTCAAGAACCTGTCCGCAGGGATGCTCGGTTGGTCGGGAGACTTCCAGGTTACCTCCAGGTCCCAAACCATGGTTTGACCTTCAGGTTACCCCAAGATGGTGCAAAAGGCGACGGTTTTGGTTTCGAGAGGGTGCAAAAGGCGACGGTTTTGGTTTCGAGAGGGTGCAAAAGGCGACGGTTTCGACGAAACCATCACCTTTTCAAGGCTCGACCATCGCGAACTGTTTCGACCATCGACCATCGTCCCAATTCATGCTTGGGACCTTATGCATCACCTTTTGTTCTTGGGAAACCTACATCTTCAAAAGGCGACGGTCCCAGTGAAACCATCACCTTTTGGCCTGGTGTAGTGTCTTATGTTTAGAACAGTTCAATATATTGGGCCTTCACACCTACATGTCGGGATACCCAGGATACCCGGACATCAGGAATGTTACTAAAGAATGATAGGAAACTCTATTGCCACACTCAGCCATGATGTCCTCAGAAGGCGACGGTCTCATAGAAACCATCACCTTTTGAACTTTGAGAGTTCGCTTCTACAAAAGGCGACCCATAAGCTCCCAGTGGTCCCTTCCCAATGGCCTTATGAGGTCCTCTTTGACACCTTCACAAGCCAGCTCCTTCTGCAAATTGAAATACGAATAGAGGATCCCAAACCAAATGATCGACAGTCTGCCTTGGCCCTTTGCTACAGAGATTTCCCCGTAATCCAAGCTCTCTCCAGCAACCTTGTCTTTGGTGAAGTAGATCTCGAAGGGCTCACGGTGTCCTTCGTACCCACCATTGAATACGTCGGAGGCAGTGTTTTGCCATTGAGGAAATAATGGAAAACCCTCCATTGGCATTTTGTACCGGAGAGCAAGCACTGGAATTTGCTGGAGGTCTGGAGAGCCAGCCTAAGTGTCCAGTGGTACATGTTCCAGGTTCAATTGTTTTCTGGTAGACATTTAAACCCAATAGCCCAGCCTACAAACCAAAATAAATCTTGCTCCAGGAAGCAGGCCATTTGAACTCTGATGGGTGGGGAACATGGCTGTCTGGCATAAGGGAATTGAGCCACGTGTAGACTGCCTCATGGACCCCTCTGGATTTCGTAAGCTTCTGCAAGACGAACTTGGCCGGATGTTCATCTTTGGTAAGGTCAAAGGACCTTAGGACCCACATAAAAAGTAGAGGAACAAACTGACAGTAGATGAGTATAGGCTGACAGTAGTGGAACCAACTGACAGTACCTAGTGGAAACACATTGATGCAGGCTAACCACTCAGAGCCTTTCATGATGAGATCAACCCATGGTCTCGCAACCCGTGGGGCTTTGGCAAGCCCCCCTGCATTGGCCGAAGCCCTCTTCCCCATCAGGCCAGCCCGCAGCAGAGGACTGGCTCACGGCTTCGAAGCTTGAGACCCACTCATGTATTCGCGCAGGAAACATTTTACAAGTAGTACACTCAAAAAGTGGTTGACAAGTAAGTAACAGGAATGTTTCCTCAAGTCCTAATAATGCCACACTTTTGGCACGCTCGTCTAGCATCTCCTAGCTGTCGTGACATACTCTGAATTAAGTATTGTCCGACTCAGCCCAAAATTCCAAAAGATAATCAACAGATTTTAGAGATTATACAATTAGCAACCGGTTATGGTTGGTGCAAACATGACTGGAAGGGGCAGGTCAGGCTGTAATTGGCAGCATCTATGAAACATAATCTATGAACCATCAATTCGCTCAAGAGCGATTGCAGCTCCCATCATGGCCACCCCCATGCATGGTACGCTCATGCCGTTTCCGGCCATCTTGACTTTGGAAGCATTTGAGCAACCATCAAATTTGAGCCTCGGGCTGTGGCATTTTGTCGCCTGTGCCCGTGTCACTGGGAGGACATGGCTTGACAGCAGCTCATCGGAAGAGAGGCATCTTTGGTGGGCCTGGCAGCGAATGGCGCTCCAACTGTGAACAACCGAGTATGGGGTAGGGTTTAGTTTGTCAACCTTTCACCTCGCCTCTGACCACAATGATCCAGTGGTAGTTGTCAATGTGGGAAGAGCACCATCTTTTGTTTCTCCCCTCCCACGACCATTCTTCGGATATTGGGATAGATCCATGAACTGGAGCTTGGTCGTGCGCCGGTAGTCTTGTCGGTTCTTTTCCTGATTGAAAATGAATATGAAACAAACAACAAAAAGGTAAGCAGGAAGGAAGAGAAATCTCACACTCACAGTTGTTAAGCCATGTTTCCTGTGCCGTGGAAAGCTTTACCGGTGGAAGCTTGGCCCAGTAGTATGATCCTGCTGATAGTGCAACCTGTCCTGCTAAGCAATCCACCAACTGCTCTAGTGTGAAGTTGGGCTCCCATCGAAAGATATCTGTTCTGAAGATCACCATGTACAGACGGGCTCTAGCACACCCAAGGCCTAGCACCCTGGGGTCGATCCTCAGAGACTTCGCCTGCCAGGAGTAGCCACTCTTCTTCAGACACTTGAGGACCAACATCTCGCTGTATTCAGGAACGTTTTCCACGATCAAACACTCATGAGCTGGTGCAACATGTTCAAAATAGGCCACGTGGGTACTCCATGTTGCAGCGTCGGAGTCCCTTCCCCTCTTCCCCATTGCCGAGAATGAGATGCACACTGGTCCTTACTATCAGACTTTAGTGAGTAGTGTTGAAGTACTCAGGAAGTGTCACCAGGCTTTTAAATGTCTAAGAGCCGCACCAGCAGCGTTGATTTTTGTACCTGAGGAGCTGTTGGTTTCCCAGACCTTTGCTAGTAAATCTATGTTAGATTACATTCTGTCACATGGAAACAGTTGAAGTCAAGCTACGGCCTGGTTTTGAACTATGAGTGATCTTGCATAAGCGTCCATGGGTTGTGCAAAAGGCTTTACCACCGTTCACCATGTCCAAGGTGAGGATATCCTTGAAGTTGCAATGTCCATATGTGTTTTTCAACACCAATTGACACTCCGCATTGATTTCGCACGACGAAGTCAGACACACATGTTCGACTTGACCCATCTTCCCAGCGCATTGGGTCTGCAGGAACCTCCGCGCTGCGGATTGCAGGCTCAAGGCCGCCTCAGCTCGAAGGCATCGGGTCGACAGTAGAGGGGAAGTGTGAGACATACCAGTGCTAAGTAGCGTGCTGTCTCTGCACATCCACATCCCGAAAACGAAGTACTCATGTCCCACTTCCACTTGCGTAGTTTGTTCAAGAACCAAGCTTTCCCCCATCGTTGCGAGATCTTCTTCATAAAGAGGTCTGCCCATCCATATGTCGCCAGAATGGACCGGTAGTGAGTGGGGTGTTTGCTCGAAGCTGCTGGGATACTGGTCTTTGGGAAGAACCGCCTCGGTCAGCATTTTCATTGTGCAACCAGAAGAACACCAACTCTGGACTTAGGTACCCACTTCTTTTCGATTGTAGGTTTGACGCCTCTCTTCTTGTCCCGAGACTGAGTGGCTTTCCTGCAACCGCAACGTTTAGACTCTGGGTGATTTTTTTGTTGGCACAAACTAGTGACAAACAATTGTTTTTGATTGCTCTTATTGGTGTCCTTGAGACAGTAGGCTTTTGCACCATTCCAGGTTCCCGAGTCCCAAACAATCTCAAGACTGCCTCTCGCACACTGACCATATGCCTGTACCAGTCTTGAGCCCTTCCAGAGTGGAATCTGATATTATGTGCTTGATGTAAATGAAGCATTCTTGAAACAGCATGAGTGTGTGGAAGGTCTTATTGCTGACGCTTCTTTTACTGAGGCATGATTTGCTATAAAGAGGATCAATTAAAGCAGCATGAATTGGTAGCTCAAATGAATTGTCGCAGTCCCTCAGTTCTGAGGGCCCCCGGTATTGTTGGAGAGATCCAACACCTGCAGTTTACAAACAGATGGTTTTCATAGTGAGACACTGTCACACACTAGTAGTGTTTGGTTCATGTTTGACTGCTTGCTTGACAATGTTCCTGGCCTCACTGCTGATTCTTCTTTTTTTGTAATTACGCTGGCGCACCTGGGCAAATGAATAACAAGTGATCCATGTATGAAGGTTAAACATATCCACCAATGAACAGGTCCGAAGCAGGTCTTGCCTCTTGTGGCTCAGGCAAAGGTGGCCAAAACGGCCAAGCGTTGACCATCTGCAGGCCAGCAATCACGAGTTGATGACAATTAGGGATTCCTTAATGCTATTGGGCTACAGTTTTGGAGCTAGACCCAATGATGCCGAATTGTTTGAAAAGAACTCTGTCAGAGCAGACTTGTCAGAGCTTGCCTGGTGGAACGTGAAGTCATCGACCTGTGAGTCTTCATTTTCGAGCATGTCCTGCCAGTGGTGTTGCCAGTCCAACTTTTGAAGACATGTGGGAAATGTAGTCCTCGACTTCCTTCCTTTTCCTTTCCCATTCCTGACGCATTTGTTTGTCAGGGATGACGCATAGAACTTCGACTACCAATGAGCAGCCTGAGCCTCAGCAGTTTGCAGCCTGAACAGAAAAGGGCGGAAGGTCTTTTGTATGTTTGTATGTGGGTTTGAAGCTGCATTCTATATCATATCATAGTGGCTCAACCTCGCCTGGTCATCTAGTAAGTAGGTCCAGGGCAGTTTTCTAAATAGTGACCAGTCAGTGTTTGGTCACACATACAAAAATGCCTGCGGGTCTCAGCATGGTCCACTCTCAACTTGCCTGAAACATGCCAAAGAATAAAAACACATGGAGTGACAGTATTTTCGAGCTGTCACAAGTGCTTTGCGTAGAACTTCATTGCTGGAGCAATTCTCCCAGCGATGCGAGAGAAACCTATCTCTGAAGGGGGTCCACAATCGGTCTCAATCCAGGGCAACCGAGGTGGATCTTCAGCTTTCAGATCTTCACTACATATGTTCAGGAGAAACTGAACCGATCTAGCACTTGACTCACGTGGTGCTCGTTCCAACAAAGCCTCTGCTAGTTTTAAATATTCTGTTTTCTTTGCTGCTTTCACTGGTTCGAGAGGACGAGGTTCCATAGGCATTGCACCCAATTGAGCTGTGTAGCGGTATGGCCAAAGCAGCACAGACCCCTGCAAATGCATGTGCATACAAAGTGCATGCGTTGGGAGTTGATGTGTTGCTGGTACATGACATGGCAGTCTTGGCAGCTCGCCCTGCCTGGCAAAGGTCGGAGTCACTGGCATTGCGCTTCAAGAGGCAGATGATGTCCATCGGGTGGTCGGGTAAAGAGTCAGCTGCTCTCCCACTCTTGATGATGTGGGCTTGCACATCACGTGGCAAGTCTCAGCTCTTTCAATCACAGAACCGATCATATTCTTTTGGCTTTTGAATGCTTTTGACTACAAACAGCAGAACAAAACTGCAGCAAGATCTAGTCTGCAAAGGAACCTCTCCTTCGAATCAATAAGAAGCAATGCAACCCAGTTGAGTCATCCTTCAGGCCGCCCTCAATTGAGACCGGCGCCGCGCTCAACCTAGGCTAGGCGACGGTGTCTCACTTAGCAACATGTGCTCGCACTGGCGAGAAAAAGGGATTGGTTCAGGGCTAGGGTTTTATGATGTTACCAAGAGACCATTGTTTCCATGGCCGCACGCCATCAATGTACTCCACGGACACCACTGCGTTGTGCCCGATCCAAGAACGAATGTTGATTCTGTTGAGAATCGATGTCAATTTCCTGGGGGCACAGGCAGAACCTCTATTGAAATGTCTAGCTACTGGCAAGTGCTGATATGTTTCGTTTTTCGGTTTTAAGATGTCTTGAGGTTTCACCATGTAAGGACCTTACTCAACCACATCCTCAGCGTCGCTCAAAATGTCCAGATATCTAAAGGTTGTTGCGATAACGCCGAATATTTGATCTCAGATGACGGTACACACAGACACCCGCTCACACGCACAAAACACAATTATTAGGAGATCATCGAATGATCAACAGCTGGGTTTGATTGCAGAATGCCTCCCAGTAACCCAAAGAGTTGTGAGTGTGGCCTCTCCTGCTAAAAAGCAGGGAGGCCGTGCGGAATTGAGTCTTGCTCAACACCATCGACGCCCATTTGAGCACCCATTGGTTCTTTGTCTCCCTGACACAATTGTCAGCCTCCATCCAACAAAAGCAGGCTAATGCACACTGATTCCACCAAAACGATATGAATCTGTTCAAGACAAGGTTTGAGTCCAAGAAACCCAGAAGGTCAGCTGGTCTGGTTTGCTAGCTTTCCGAGCTTCACAAATATCCAGAACTTGTTGAATCGTTCTGGATGCCGTCTCTATCACCATGCTCGAGTCCGACGGCACGCGTGGATGGACCAGCCATAATTTTAGCATCACATCGTGACACCATGTGCCCTGCAGCTTGAAACGTGGCCGTTGAAAGCCACTGAGCGCCTTCGGAACCAATGCTGCTTTGTTTCTTGGAACGGACCATTTGGCCTGATCCATTCCATCCTCATGCACACAGGTCACGGAGTGACAGAATCGATTGGTTATGCTTCCACATTATACTCATGATGGAGCAATTCCACTCCAAGGCACCATATGGATGGAAATGGCTTTGCAGCCATCATCAAAAGGGCTTTGGGATTCCATGAACCGCTCTAACTCCCGGTCTGCTCTGATGAGATCCAAATGAGATTTGTATTCTCTGGCAATGTCAAATCGAGCCTGGTCATCCTGAACTTGCAAGTCCAAGGCTTTGCGACAAAACCAATGTGAGCCCACAAAAGTGAGCTTGAGACACAACAACTCAGTGCATCCAATGTTCAGTCACCAGTTTGAAGGCATCCTTGAACGCCACGCAGTCATCGCAGGCGGCATGCTCTGTGACTGGCAAGAACCGTAATATCTGGGACCATTTTCGTTTAAATTGGCGCCAGAAGGTGCTGTACCTAACTACCCAAGCCATCCCAAGCCCACAGAAGTCTCAGCAAACACACACACACATTTACATATTATATGCAACTCAAGCTGCGACACATTAAGACTTGTATTGTGCTTCAATTCCCACCATAGCATAGATATTGTGCCGGGTGCCAAATATCTGACCGGGAGCTTATCAAACTCCCGACAGAAGTTGGATTCCACTTTCCTTGTAACAGACAGTATGTGAGGAGTCTAGATGGCTTAGGTAAGAGGCAAATGTTGTTAGCCAAGCTTCTCTGTATAGTATGAGCTCAATCCAGCTACGTGCATTTGCAGCTCCTGGTCCTGCTCTAAGCACTCCTCTGGCAGGTGAAAGTCAGTTTCCATCTCATCTTCAGTCTCGTCGCCCCCTTACTGCTCAGCGCTCACGCACCAGAGCTGATGAGCTACTAATTAATGTGAGTCAGTTGATTTTTTCCGACAACAGGACGAGGCGCTGTCGGAGTTGTTGTCAGCTCGCGCTGATTGCCCAACGGTCACGACAAAGTCTTCAGTTTTGGATCGTTTTCTGGCTGGTCGCTGAAGCCTCGCAGATGTTCAAATGTCATGATGGTGGCATATGGTGGCCACCGAACAACAAACAACAAACAAAACCAGCAGCAAAGCAAGCTGTCAAACCAAGACGCTTTGTTGGTAGCATACCAGCCGCGTTCATGTATAGGCCGAGGAGATACTTGTCCACTGACATAGCTTTAGGTGCCGCTCGATGTTGTGCCTTTGGCGTCCGAACAGCAGAGTCTTAAGGAACCTGTTCAAATCTCCAGTGCAAACGAAACTGGACATCTAATATGGATGCAAGTTACACCTCCCCAGACTTTGAATCTTCTGTCGACATGTCCACCCATGAGCCTTTGTACACGCAGGTTTCCTATCCCTAGGATGGCAGCGAAACACTTGGGTGATATCTCTTTCTCCAAAAAGGTCCATTTTCGGCGAACAGCACCACGGACATGAATCTGTTGTCTCACCTTGGTCCCACACATTGTGACGGAAGATGTTGGAAGGCAGTAAATACACGCCATGTTAAACTAACCATTGCTTTCACAATCAAAGAAGTTCTTGGTATGACTAAGCTGCATATTCATCTTGGAACTTCTTAGCCAATCCCCAAAAGATCTGGAGATACTGTATGATCTTGTCCAGGATTCCTGACAATGCCTCGAAGCATTTCTTCCGAGTGCATCGGCATGTCTTGCCTGATGAGATCAAACGTTGCACTCGATCCTGGCTCTGACCATTGAGGGTTTGCCTCGGCAAACTTGTTGCACTACTGTCCTATTGTCTAGTTACAAGTTTCAGCCAATTGCTTGCAGTCATGTTACGATACACGTTCATGCTGCTTAGCCAGAAGAGATCTCATCCGATTATCATAGTTGGGTCTCTTTCTTTGCACGGTTTCAATCGGCTGACTCTCTTTGCCCAACTCTCTATGCATTTCAACTTCCTTCTGAAAACGAAACAGTGACTCAAGTGAAAAGTTCACTTGGACCTCTTCTAAACATGGTGCAGTCCTCGCTGGTTCTGAAGCATCCGAGCTCAGGCTTCTGAAAAAATGTCGCCTTTGGGAAGAGCCACCAGTCATTGGTGTGTCATCCACAACGTCCTTCGTCTTCGAGGTCTGAATCGCCATTTGGCGACAGGATTTCCCACCATCACCAACCAAAGATTGAAGGTACCTCAGCACCCCCAGTATAGATCAGATAAGTCTATTACCCAATGGCTCAAGATTCCACATGCACTTCTGTAAGAACAAGTGCTTGCAAGGGACCGCCGGCGTTTGTCGGCCATAAGGTCCCATTGGCGCCATTAGAGCTTTGAGGATGCTAAAATGGCATCAGGTGATTGTGCACAAACATACCCCAGAACTAGACCCTCGAATGTAAAGAGAGGACCCTCGAATACGACGAAATTGACTTTATAGCTGGTTCAGTAGCTGGCTTCTTAGTTGGTTTGGTCTGAAGTTTCCCCCAGTTGGAGACGATGGTACCTTCCACTCATTGAAACAACAATGCACAAACGAAAGACCTCTACGTTCAAAGCTTTCTCGTCCTCGCGTCGCCCGAACCCACTGTCCCGTCGTCTCGATCGCGCAACATGGCCGGTGAAACAAAGAGGAGATGACCTGGCGCGGGGGGCGATCTCGGCAGGTTTAGTATACTGACTGTGTTAAGCTCGCCGAAGATCGGGTCGATCAGGAGCGATGGAATCGTGTGGAAGAGCTCCATTGAAACTGCCAGTACCTTTGAAGGGGTCACCCATTGAGACCTGGTATAGAGTCTAACAACCCTCAAAAAACGAGGAGACCTGGCAGTGACGGTACAATTGCCATGACCTTTGGCAAGATATCCACAACTACAGGTGTCGAAGATCATAAGTACACTTGGCAAACCAAACCCAAGGTATCTCAGGGTTCTTTTTGCAAGCCAAATTGTGTTAGTTCTTTTCACGAACTTTGGAACGTACGAGCTATCGGCAGCTATCACTTTCAGCTTTGACATTCCCGGACTGATATCGCTTAATGTTGGCTCCCGGCACCTCGAGACTGACTCTCAAGGTTATAGGCTTCTGCATTTTTGGGGGTTCCACTCTCACCTTCACGTAGTACAGTACAGGCTTTGTGGACGAGCCTGCAGTTGTTGGGTCATCTACAGAACAAAGAAGTCATCTTTCATACGCGCCTAGAGGTTTGCCCGTAAATGGTCCTGGTCCTGTAAAGAATTCCTGAGATACACATGCGCTGCACATGCATTTGATCTCCATGCTGTCAACGCCCTGCATTCTCAGCCTCCGTTGACGGGGTTTCTCGGGGCAAGACCACCAGCAGGAGCCGCACGAAGGCCTGGTCAGTGAGTGCCGAATCGTGGCACGTCCAGCCGGCGCGTCTTCCCAAAGCGACGTCCAACCCGCGCCCGAACGCGGTGGGTCATCTTTGATCGGTTTCCACAAAGCTAAGCACCGACCCTCGAAGGTGCTTGGGGTCGTTCAAAGGTTCGACGTTCGTTTGGCAGCGAGACATGGGAAGCCCCAGTCTTTCCATGGGAACCCAGCCCAGCCAGCCCAAGCAGTCGAAGATCCCCCAGTCGACCCTCGGATTTGAGGGAGTTCGAACAGGATAGAACAGGGGGTGAACATGGATTCAGATGCGCTCCAACGACCTGAGCCGGCTCAAAGGACCTCCGTTTTTGGGTTCGGTGGTTGAGGGAAAAGGTGCTTTAGACGTTCCAGTGGGGCCAGGTTTATTCTTCCACAACTGAATGTGGCTAAGGCTCTTGGCCATCCAAAATAGGAA